CTTCTGCATATATTTGGCCATATGGAAAGGCAAGACAATGTAAAATATGTATGTTTTTTTAGAACACTAATTAGAGAGTTAGAGCAACAGCTATAAAACTTACTTGCTGCATCTTAATTGCTGTGAGTAATACGAAAGCTTTGAAATGTAATCCTTGGGAATGCTTAAGATCCTAATTATATACCAGCCAGTCGAGGTGCGCTTGTTTGGAAACAGGTCTGTGCCGGCCTCTTCTGAGAACTAGGTGTTCCTAATACCAGAGGTGGAGAAACACTAATTTATATGAAAATGAATTATCCTCAAAAAGACAGGAACGGACTTCAAAGCATAGCATTTTATGACAAGACAAACTTCAAGATTAATGAAGCAGGGCCCAGATACACTGAACACACACGATTAAGCCTTAAAGAGGACATAGGTTTAGCTTCTAGTTCCAGACCTAGCTTCTAATTGGAGTTTAGGATTCTAACTTGCTATTTGTCATGAGTTTAAGTTTTAGAGTCTGAGCATGTAAACCACAGATGCTGTGTTATGGACTGTGCTTATTCTACTTATCCTTTTGAGGTAGATATTTTCTCTGTCCTGAGTTCCTCTTTTTTTTTTTCCTTCTAGAGCCTTTAAATTGCACATGTAGGCTGTAGGCTATCAAATCATATTCAAGGAAGACTGCTTCTTCCTATTACTTGCATTTACTCTTCACTCTATATCTCGGAAAATGATTTGTCACATTGATGCCCTTCCTAGGGATAGCAGCAAGACTTACATTACAGCAGTCTTTATTCATATAGAAACCTTGCACAGCTACTTTCTATAAGGCTCCTAGCAATAGCCAAGTTAACACCTTTCTTAACCATTCTTCTCCAAAGTTGTGACTGTATTTATAATGCCTTTTTTCTTTCTTATTTTGCCTTGTACATGTACAATGGTCACTTAATGTGCCTGTATTTCTTTCTTTTCTGAACATGAATACTTCTGTTTTGACTTTTTTTACCCCAGCCTGTGTCCATCCACGCACCCTTAACTATCACTATATACTTATTGAATGTTTTTTTTTTTTCTCTCCTACATGTCTGTGCTAAACAAGCTATGGACCGTCTCCAAATTTTCTACCCTCATGCTGTAGTTCAAATTTCATCTGTAAATTTTGGCATCTAGTTGTGGAGATTTTTTTTTTTTTGATATATTCTAGTAGAGTTTTCTCTTAAGAAGTGGTGTCTTTTTTTTTTTTTAAATCAATGCATTCCAGTGGTATCTTAGAACTATTCTCTTAACTTGTTAGGTAGAGGTGCTAATGTTTCATTCTCCTCTTCAAGGCACTAAGGTACTTTAAAGAATCTATGACTTCATTAAAATACCTTACCTAAGGCAAGGGATAGTTATCCTTCATGTGTTCCAGTAATAATTTTAATAATTTTGCAATACCATTTTTTTCAATGTGAGGTCCAGTCACCATATTTTTCTGTTTCTACTCACAGTCTGCCAGAAGTTGGGTCTCACAGAAACTTAGTTCTCCAGAATCTGCTCTTCAGCCACATAGAGACTTGGCTTTTTATGGTATTGCTGTAAAACTCTTGTTTGGAGGTTCAGCCTTCGTTACCTTTCCTTGCAACCTACACCTAACAATGAAGCTTTCAGATATTTATTGGTTAGGTATTCATGTGTTTGATAGGAATAATATTGCAGTCATACAGCTTTTGCAATGCAGTAATGATTCATAATTTATGCAGTTATGAACCTGGTTTTGCGGGTAATGTTCTGTGCAAGTAAGGCACTGCATCAGGTTGAAATTTGTAATGTTCAGGAAATTTTTATCTGTGACCTAAGTATTGGTGGTAACTAGTCAAAATTTGACAGGAGTTCATATGGTTATTGAAGAGCTGAATTTTGCCCGTCATATGTTGCATTTATATTCCAAGTTAAAACCCTTGCTTCCGTTCATGCCCCTGCATTTGAGTGGCCTACTTCTGAACAACGTTGTGACTTCTGCTTTTCTATTGCTTGTATTTTTTTAATGAAAACCTATTTGTTTCTGTGCATTTGTGCACCCAAATTGTGTTACTAGTTGATAAAGGAAATGCGTAGCTGGGGAAATGGCGGGTCTGCGGATGAGCTGCTACAGAAAGCTGCTGAGGGCCGGGGAGGTGCGGGAGCGCCAGCACTGAGCCGCAGCAGCGCCGGGTCTGGACGCAGCCCGAGGGAGCAAGGCTGCAGCGGAGCGGGTAGCGCTCGCTCCCATCCGATGCATCTCAGAAAGGATGCTGTGAGCTGAAGTTACTAAGGAATTACTCAGGCAACAATCTGCTGCTTCTTGGTCTGCCTTTGGGTACTAACTCGTGATGGTACAAGAACAGAAAGGGCAGGAAAAGCAGGCAGAATAAGAAAGTGACTTGACCAAGGAGAAACCTTCAGGCAGAAAGGAAGGGAAAGCGCTTTTGTATTTGTATTGTTCTTCCTCTTGATAGCTAAGCCTGATTTTGACTTCTGCACAGGGTTTTGAAGATCTCCAGAGAAGGAGACTCCACAACCTCTCTGGGCAGCCTGTTCCAGTGCTCTGTCACCCTCACTGTGAAGAAATTTTTCCTTAAGTTCCTATGGAATTTTTGGTGTTTCAGTTTCCGGCCATTTCCTCTAGTCCTATCAGTGGCCACCACTGAAAAGAGACACCTCAAGCCTTCCTCTCTAGGGTATGAAGGCAGTGAGAAGAGGGGGAGCTCTTGGGCAATGATTCTCAGCTCAGAAACACCATATGATCCTCTTAAACATAAATACTTAAATACAAAGGGCAACATGTTTTCTGTACAATCACGGTTTGGAAAACTTTGTAGTACATCAGTACAGATCACACTATAGTTGTAGACAGAATTCAAACTTCTTGGTGCAAGATATAACATTAAGTGCATACTTCAATCTGGTGCATAAAGTCATACCCAACTCCTGATTTTTTTTATTCACTCTTTCTACCTGAGCCACACTTGTTTCTGAACAGAAGTAAATATAGAAATTATGCAAATTTGCTTCTGCAGAGGGAGTGGAGGGCTATAATAGGTTGTGGTTTGGTTCTGTTCACTCGGTGACCAAGTAAAGGGTTTTCGTCCTTAAACTCACCGCCTTATGTAGATTGAGAAATCTAGTAGTTTCAGAGTGCCTCACTGTTTAGACTTTATCTCTCCTTCCGGTTTTGTACTGTCTCTGTTTATCAAGGTTATTACTAACACTGCTTTGAAACATCCTTCAGGGAACGTAAGTGTCAATTATGGTACAATCTGATAAATTATGTACCTTGTCTGGTATTGCTTATGATGAGGGAATTGATTCAGCATCATTTGTTGTCTTCCTACTGTTCCATCTTTGTATTGTCTGTTTCCTACTTGTGGTTTCTGCCGGAGCGGGAGGGCGAGGCTGTGCTGTGGAGCTGTTCTGCCTCGGAGCTGGCTCCTTCCTGGCACAGCTCCTTCCCGGGAGTCAAACCTGGAGAAAGGCGGGGGGTCTCTCCAGGTCAGGAGTTGGGGCTCGAGACAAGTCCTCTGAAGTCGGTGATGCTGAGTGGTTTGGGCAGAGCTGGCCCCTGCAGCAGTTGCTGGAGTTGGGGGCGTTGGGGGTTTGGCCGTTCTGGTTCACTCACTCTGGTTTCGGAAGAGTGCGCTGCACGGGCAGGTCGGCTGC